CGGGCATCATCAACTTGGGCACTTGCTCCACATTTTCATGAGTGGGACATTTTGACAGTTTTCACCTATTCTTTTAGGTATGGGCACCGAAACGTAGCCAAAAACGTTGAACTTCAGGAGAAAACAACATCAAATTTACTGATGCTTCAAACAATTAGGCGAATTTTCCATTGGAAGACCACTTCTGAGGCTTTTTGGAAAAAAGGAGGAAAGTCCAGGCGAGAAAAAAAATATAGCAACCATTTTCCACTCAAAACGGAGCATTTTGTCCATTGAAGCTAATATTATGGATCTGCCTAGTTGAATGATTTAAGATGTGGGTTACATGTTCGTCGATTTGTAATTTCAAAAGGAGGAAAATGAGGGAAGGGAATGCCCTTAGTAGCAAAGCCAATGCACTACTGCCTGAAATTCTTCTTCGGGTTAGTCAAACAAACTGCAACGGAAGACAGGATGCGTTCCTACCCCAGTCCTTCTTCGTATCCCTCTCCCCCAGTTCCTAATTGATGTGGCTGTAATTATGCAACACTTTCAGCGGCAGAAGCCAGCCGCATTCGCTTTCTCTTCGATGCGCGACTGGCGCGTACTGGCAACGAGGCGCGACGACGGCTTTCGGATAACACAGTCATGAATAATTAACGCATTTAGCGCTTCTCGATAGCCTTTTCCCTTGTGCCGTGCCCGCCTCTTGACTCGAGAATATTCCCCCGAAAACCGTTTTTAGGAGGTTAATTGAGGCCAACGACGGCCAGCCGAATTGCAAGTCTCCGGCTCACACAGTAAACGGCGATAGTGAATGATTTTGTAAAAATCGAAAAAATGACGACAAAAAACATGCGAATCGTTCTAGTAGCAATTAGCGAAGAAAAAAGGTCAAACATAAAATCAATGCCAGCGAAAAGTGCTAAAAATGTATAAATGGAATTCCAACAGTAGAAAGACGAAGCGAAACACCACTCACCACACATGATGCTTCGTGAAGTTTTCCGACCTTGGCGCCGAGGAATGGGCTGAAATGATCAAGAATGATTTGACCAGAGTTTTGAAGAGCTGGCATTGCCATAGATGAAAATATCAACAACAAAATTAAAGTTCTTAACTGAAAAACGATAAAGACGCATCACGAAAGTGGAAAGTTACGCTGGTTAT